TATTTATGAAGATAGAAATGGTCTTCGTCATTGTTAAGGAAATAGTTTTCCTCAATCTTCTAGAGATGGTCTTCCAATTTCAAGTCAAGGTAAAATTATTTTTTCTTTCTTAGAAAATGATGGAACTAGACATCATCTTTCTTCCACCTCCTCCTCCTGTGACCCTCCCAACGTCACTTTTTTCCCAAGTTAAAAGATATGAAACAACTCAATCCCTATTAGCATGTAAACATCAAGATGCAAATTTTGTGTGTACGCAAGATTATGAAAATAAATCGTACTCTGATACTAGGGTTGTATGTGTTTGTTGTCTTTGTGACTCTTGCTGTATGCTTGTATGCATGTTTGCTATATGTATGTAGAGTGAAATAGACCTGGTACATCCTTGAGTTGTCATGTGAGTTGAAATAGACTCTGGGGTGACATAGACCTGGTACAACCTTGAGTTGTCATGTGAGTTGAAATAAACTCGAGGGTGAAATAGACCCAAGGGTGAAACCGATCGGGTACAACCTTGAGCTGACATTTATGTATGGTATGTGGTATTTTGGGGAACTCACTAAGCTTTGTGCTTATGGTTTTCAGTTTAAGTTTCAGGTACTTCCGTTTCGAAGGGGAAGAGCTCGGGAAGATCGCATCACACACACCATGATTTTCTGCTTTATTTGATCCTGATGTACTTTTGGATGATTATTGACATACTCGGATTTCCCTTACGATTTTTATAAATATGTTTGGTTAATGGTGTTATTAACACAAAAATGAAATTTTTGGTCATAAATTTTTGAGACATTACAATCTCTCTCTCTCTCTCTATATGTATATATATATACATATATATATATATATATATATATATATATATATAAATGCTAGCCATTTACCTGCGCCAAGCAACGGGTGTGAATAGTTTTCTCAGAAATTAGTTTCTATAGACGATTGGTTCTTTTGCACAAATAGTTACTTACTACATCTAAACAATTACCAATGACAGTCATGCTAGCAGAAACGAAATCAATAAGAATTAAAAATAAAATGTTAAGATTCTTTATAAATGTACATAAACACATGATTGATTGCGCAACACTTCTTTATACCCGCCCAATGCGACGGGACACAACTTTTAGGGGTGGGGGGAAACTTGTCTAAAACTTCCATCTTAGCCTTTGATGTTTGATAACATGGTATCCCATTAATTATTAATATTACGATGGGTTAAATTTAGAGGACAAAATGATGACATGACTATACTTTAATGACCAACTACATCGAAAGTTCTTATATAATTTCTGAAATCTAAAGTTATGTCACATTAATGGTAAAAATATGGCATGGTCAATGTTGAATCAAAATCTAAATTCTAACAGGTTATAATTATTTTGAAAAAATAATTGGAATGCAATAGATGCTCATAAAATATAGTTAATTACTACTTGTTTTCGTTCTTTGAGAGATATGTTTTCGCATCATTTGATTTGTGTTCATCGTAAAAGGAAAAAGATAAAAGGAATCTCAAGGGAATTCTAAAAAAACAAAGTCTTGATTTCAATTTTGTACATCAATTAAAAAAACATAAGAATGAAAATTGACTTGGAAGTTACAAAAAGATAACCACAAAGTGCGGTCAAGCAATAATCACTCCGACCTCTTTTGCCAATATTAATACATCATTTAAGCCCCTGTAAAATGAAATTTTATGTCACTAATAGACCCTTTCTCAACTATCCTCATTTGCCTTTCTTCATCTTGACTCCTTTGGATGGTCATCACTGATGCATCATCGCACAAAAGGGGAGAAAGTGTAGCCAAGTCCTTCTACCAGACATATAAGATAATGAGCTACAAGATTGTTCTTCCTCTTCCCCTCTCCCGAAAAAAGAATATTAACGATTAAAGTAATCAAATGGAAATAAACAAATAAACAAAAGCAAGTTGCTATTTCTTGCATTTTGTCCATTTTTTGCATGGTTAGATGCCAAACACTACTCCTTCAAGTCCTTTTAAGTAAATAAAAAAATGCTAGAAAATAATAGCATATTTTTTGGGGTTTTGTGTATCGAGTTCAACAAGCAAAATATTTTTAGTTTATTTTTGAATAGGCGTCTATATATGTATATCTGGACATTCCAAGAATGAAAAAAAAGTCAATTTGTGGGCAATATATAAAAAATAAAATTAAAAGTCAGCTAACACTATCATTTCAAGTACAAAAAAAAAATAATAAAAATAAAAATTATCTGAAAAGCATTTCATAAAGAGTTAAAGATGGGCAGACTTGTGTGTTTTGAAGCTACAATGTGCACATGAAGAGGTATGTTATGAAAGGAGGGACTATGTAGGGTAAAATGATCATAAATGAGGGGGGAAATAAACTTATTTCATAATTATACCCAAATTTAATCAATTTTTTTTTATAAATTATTTAATTTTAGATGAAGACTTGTACTAGAACGAAATTGACATGCATGAGATATAAATGGTACACAGAATACATATTTTACTTTTTAATTTGAATTTTAACTTTAAGGTAACACTGGAATAGTAAAACGTCAAAAAATTAACAATAAATGATCTTTATATATGAAAATATATTAATTTCCTCAACTTATGTATTTTTGCATACTAATCCTTCAAAAGGCTAAGATAGATCCCAAATGACGGTACAAAAAGTTTGAATAGTTAGATAGATATACATACAGTACTCCACAAATCCCAAATGCAATTTTTCCAAGTTAAATTTCCCAATAATCCATCAAAATTACATCCCTACGAAGTTTATAACAAAACGTTTGGAGATCCGCATGTAAAAATTCACAAAATGGTGATGCTTCCAAACTTTTAATCATTAGTTTAGTTGTAGCACTCATCAGGCAAGATCATACATGTCCACACAGATAAATAAATCACACATACACACCAGACGCCATTAGAGAAACATAGTTCATATAAAGTTAAAAAAACATGAAAAACACTATTGTGACTTACGTAGAAAGCATATGGTTTTACTGGATTATAAATCATTGTAAACATGACAACTGAATAATTGTCCCCTAAAACCTTTAAACCCCATTTTCTGAAGCATTACTTTTTTCGTTTAATGTAAAACCTAACTATATCTTGTTTGTTTCAATAAATATACCAAAAAAAAAAACAAACAAACAAAGAACTTAATTGAATATGTATTTCTGGTGCTTTCATCACATATCTCCAGCATAAAAAGGTAGGCTATACCCGTTGTGGAGAGTGTTCTTCAATCTCACTACAAAAGCATACTTGTGTCATCCTTTGTGCATATAAGGATCTTGAAGTCACTATACAGTACATACATAATGTTGTCAAAAAGATGTACAGATAGTAATCAATCTGCTTTTTAAGAAAGATAATAATGGGCAAAAATATCAAATTATAAAAGATAACAGGCAGAGGATTGAGATGCTTAAAACCAATAAAAATTATAATATATAATTTTTTTCTTTAGTTGTTTGTTCCAGGATGGAATGACACATCAGGGCCCCCGGTTACTTCAACATCAACAAGACCCGGCCAACTAAATCAATCCCAAATGGCCATCAAGCTTCTAAATACAAAATCAAAATGCAAAGACAACGAAATCAATGTCAAGTAATGATATTTCGACCATATATGAAACAAAACAGAAATGGTACCTGAGATTAGAATTATGAAATCAAGGTCAAATGGTAAGGTTTTCAACATGGCCCTTATTTGGATCCTAACAAATGACAAAATCATGTAAACAAATGCAAAAAAGTCAAGACTTTTGTTCGCAAACATCTTTTTGTTCCATTAGCTTTGCTTCTCCACCTTCTTTTCATAATATCTCTGCTTTTTCTTTTGCATTTTTTCTACTCTGCATTTTCTATTTGATCTTCTAGCACATAAAAACCCATATAAGCAGGACTTTCATGCTTAAATTAATAGTCATACCCCATCTTTATAATCGATACTCTATCAAACTATATTAAGAAAAATCAAAACTTGAAAAAAATATATTCACATATTTTAATAAATCTTGTGGAAACCCTAGATGAAGGGTCGTCATAGGCGAAAGGGTAGGATCTTGAGGGTTTTCTTAAGTGAAGGTACGATGATTAGGGCTTTTCAGTGGTGGTGAAGTTTGGGTGTGGGAGACTATGAATGGTGGTTACGGGTTGTAGAGAGGAGAAACAAAGAGAGATAATAACAAAAAGAAGTAAAAAAGATAACCATAGAGAGATGTACCAAAAAAATATTTTCTAGATGAATTCGGCGGTTGAAGGCAGCTCTTGGTGGATGAAAAGAAGAAGAGCGTCCATGGTGCGATATAGTGTGGTGATCGTGTTCTGCTGTGATGGTCGTAGTGGTGGCGATGGTTTTCTAAATATAAAGGAGATGGGTCGTGCTCGTGATGACGGATTGTGGTGCAGTCAATTGCTCCCCTTATGATCACTTTATTTATAATTCTTCCTCTTTGTGCGGTAAATTAACCATATCTCCTCTTTTCATGGTATGCAACCGAGATATGGGCAGGGTCAAACTCGAGATAAATACTAATTCAAAATCCTTTGACTTTCTGACTTTGTTGATTGGATAAGATTTTAATGCATAAATTCATTGTACAAATCACATTGAACTTTGTACAGCATTTGAGGCTAAATGCTTATTAATGTATAAAGATATATATATATATATATATATATATATATATATATATATATATATATATATATAGAGAGAGAGAGAGAGAGAGAGATAGAGTTAGGTTTAAATGTTTCCAACAACTTTGTGTGCATGAATTGACCAATCAGAATTTAGGAAAAAAGGAATCATTAATTAAATTAATAAGAGTATGTTAGTAATATTACACATATGTATTAATTAATATCCAAAATTATACCTTTATTTAAGGGATCGGTTTTTATTTATCTATTAAAATCCTATTCTACCATTTTGTCTTCAGCCGACGCTACACCCACTTCTTCATCTTCTATCTTCGTCTTCAATTATCTTCCTCCATATCTCTGTTGTTGGCCACCATCGTCTTCAAGCCGACCACCATCGTCTTCAAGCCGACCACCCTCCTCTGACGAAAACGTCACTAGATCGTTGTAAAGAGGAATTTAGACTTCAATGAAGGAAATCGAGAATGGACAGTGGTGATGGGAGGAAGGGATTTACGTTTTCAGAGTCAGGTTTCAAGGTGGGGAAGGGAGATTCGGAATCAGGTTTTAAGTTTTGGGTTCTCCTCTGATTCTCTGTTCCCGTAATCGATACATGAGATTGTCACCCATAAAGGTTTTAATTTTATATATTAAATGATTTAATTGCTTAACTCTTTTTGCAATTTTTGATTGTATATGAACCAATTTTATATATTATATGAACTGTGCATTTTTTTATTCTCGTACAGTGTCGTCTATTGATTGATGTCATTGTGAGAAAGGTTGGAAGGCTCTCATCCATATCGCAGTTCCTTAGAGACCATTACTCCCACAACTTTTTGTATGGAAACGTCATGTCATGCTAAACAATTTGTGTTGTGTTCATTTTTAGAATTCATCTAATTATCTCTATCAACTTTCTGCACTTTCATAGTCATTCTTAACAACAGTTGAATTAAACTTTATTTTGAGCTTAAGTGTTCAAATTTGTTAGAATTCAGCAATGCCCACCAAGTGTTTGATGTAATTACTAAAATAGGAGTACAACAAATTATCTCTATCAATGTTATTATTTGTGTACTATAATGTTATTACTTAGTGATCAACTAACTGAAATATTAAAATAGCTAACTTACCTCATCATCGGATGTTATTCTCATCTTTAACTTTTTCATTCTTTAAGAATATTTTGCATCTAATGTATTCTTCTATTTGAATAATGTGTAAAGAGTATAATATTCTTGCAGAATCACATAATAATGATTCTGCCAGAATTGTAGTTCTAGTATAATCACATAAGAATGATTATGGTAAAATCACATAAGAATGATTTTTCTAGGGTTCTATTGCAACTGGATTAATGTTTTATCATGATATTTGTTTCTTATGCTTTTCAGATGTTTCAAGTTTTACCTAGGGATCACTTACCATCCTTGAGTTTATGTTCTTTTGCAGCTCTTTGTCTATCATATTCTATCAGACTTTATAGTTTTATTCTTTTAGAATGCATAGAATTTAGAAAGCTCATGGTGAATGTATAGAATGTTACTCTTACATATTCGATTTCATGGCAGTTATTCTCATTGAATACTCGATTTTAAGGAAGTTATTCTCAAAGAATACGTGAAAGGAACATGATGATCAAGTGCTTGAAGGTTAGATGATGGCATGTGGGATGAAGATGAACAATGGTCAATGATCTTCACAAAAGAAAGCACTGACATAATAATTTACAATATAATGATAAGACTATATATTATAGTATATTCTGGTAGAATATTCAGTTAGAATAATTTACCAACTGTGTTTGTTTTGTTATTAATGAGTGTTTCATTATGATAGAATAGTATATTAAGATTTTTAATTTTTAAGAATGTGATGACAAAAATTTAACTTGTATCAAAAAAAAAATTATTTTTAAAAAGTTCATTCAATCAAAAAATGTTGTTATTTCGTTTGAAGGATGATATGATCTGATATTCATTCTATAAGAATATGTATTATGTCATTCAATCAAAACATGTATTCTATAAGAATAAGTATTCTGACATTCTCATAGAATATATCATTCTAACAAAATGTCATTCTGACAGAATAAATTCGGTTATTATAAAAATACGTTGGAATTAATATTGAATTCGTTTAAAATTTTCAGATTTTTAAAATCAGGAGATCTAATTATCCCTAAATTACCAAAAATTTCTTTTTTTAAATATAGTTAATTGTCCAAAATATCATTATACTGAAATTTGTGTGATTAAATTTATTTTTTTTAATTAGTTAATAAATATAGAACCCTTAATTAAATTATCTCAAATGATTGGCTCAGAATCAATTTCACAGGAACACAATACTTAGTAAAAACAAAATAACATATATATATATATATATATATATATATATATATATATATATATATATATATATATATATATACTAGCCGTTTACCCGCGCTAAGCGACGGGTATAAATAGTTTTTTCAGAATTTAGTTTATAGAGGCGCTTACTTGTTTTGAATGTCAAATATTAGTATGTTATTGATTTGATTTAGAAAAATATGCGTCTTGTTGTTTTGCATTAAAAATACTTTTCTTGGGTTAAAAACAAAATATATTGTTTTTTGATAAAAATAAAATATTTTTGCTGTTTTTCATTAAAAAAATACATGGATCTTTCATATATTTTACTTGCTTTATGCAAAATTTAAAACGGATTTCGGATTGTTATGTTTGTAAAAATGCAAAATTATCATATATATCTTATGCTTGGTCGGATGGATTTAGACTTTTAAATTTAATTGAATTTTACTGTTTATAAAAACTTGTTCCAGTTTTAAAAGTTTTTGAATTTATATGTTAAATGAAAAGTTAATCTTCTTTTATTTCTTTGTAACTTTGTTTTTTTTATATGTACAAATTGTACAGTACAATTTATGAATAGTTACACCAACTTTTACATAAAAATACAACTTCGATTTCAACACTCTTTGAAGATTTTATGCTATATGATAAAACTATATTTGAACGGTAGTAACCACAATATTTCAACAACTACTATTTACATAATCTTTTTAGATAACAGAATTATACAATCAAGTTATTGTAAGAGTATCACTGAGATCTAAAGATGAGGGCATCTTCATTATATGCTATCCTTTTGTGTGGTTTTAGTGAGCAGATAATACAGGACCCACATCAAAAAAATCAACAAAAATGAGTAGTTAGAGATCGTAAATAGACATTGGAAACAAAAGTTGAATAAAGGGATGTGAGCATGATTATAAAAATAAAATCACATGAATATAAAGTAGTACATTGATCCTTAAAATTGAGACTGTATGACGCTCCCAACAACATGATTTTCTCATCTGAAACACAAAATTAAGCAATTACAACAAAATCAGGAAAGCAAATTACAATATATGTTTAATATATAGAAGAAAATAAAATATACCTAAAAGAAATAGCATCAGACATTTCCTCTTCTTCCTTAACACCAACAACATTTGCATGCTTGCTATTTTCTGCAAATACCCAAACATAAATAAATAAATAAACTCAACCCCAACAAATACACTTTTGGACTTCGATTAACTCATGCTTACCAGTCCCCGGAGGTAATTAAGCCACATTAGCATTACTTGCCTGCAATTGCTTCAAGTTCTCTGCTTTGAATAAATTTCATCAAATTTTCCTGCAATGATGGTTAAGTTGAAATGTCAACTAAAAAGCAACTCTCTTTATCGAATTTCGTTCATGGGCTTTGGGAATTCATAAGATAGTGTACTGGTGGCTTCTACCACACAAGGTGGGAGGAAAAATATTGGATTTTCCACTTGTTGAGATGTCTACATGTTTATAAATGAGTTTAAATATGTTCATAAATCAAAATATTTTAAGGTATAAATGCAAAAAAAAACTGAAATCTAAAGAATAACTAAAAATGAAAATGTATTCACACAATTTACATTCTGATTCAAATAATTTACCAACTTAATAATTGAATATATGCTTGTATGTGTTACATTATAGATCAAGATACATAATACCATGTGCATATAAGAAGGTATTTAAAAATATAAAATCCTAAAAATATATCACAAATATTTATAAAAAATATCCGGAAAGATTTGTTCACCAATGTAATATCACAGACCTTGTATTTGGAAATATCCAACCACAATTCGATCGCCATGTCTTTTGTGGAGCATTTAAAGCTAACAACGAATTTTGAATACTTTCCCATGAGGAAGGTGGGCTACTATCAGATTGCTCCATGATTTTATTTTTAATCAACACCCACAGGTTATTGGAACAATACCCATGATGGCCAAATTTGGTGCCAAATGGATCCTGTTTTTAGAGAGCCTTCAAAGAAAACCATTAACTTTCAATGGAATCCATGTCACCCAGTGAAATCATATGCAACAGTAAGACATTACAAGTACAACCAACTAATTGGAAGACCTGTTACTTCTAGCAGTTTTAGAAGCACATGCTGGATATAGATAATAAATAGTCAACTTTCAAAATTCTTGTCCACAATGCCAGTCATTTTGAACAATTAATGAGATATAATTACTCTCCTACATGGTACAAGGTGAAAAAGATCAAAATCGAAAGCAAAATTGTATTTCTAGTGGAAAATAATCACTATTTGTTTTGAAGGTACACATGCACTACAAGAAAGCAAATTATCTTAAACTTGCATAATGCAAAGTTGGGCAATTAAACAATAATATTTTGTAGATTCTGCATCTTTGTTTGCATTTGGGAAAGTAAAATACACAAAGTCGAACCTGAAAAATCAACCTGTGTTCATCAAGCCCTAATCAAAAAAATAAAAACAAATTATAACCTATGCATATGGAAGATACACAACAAAGGGATAAAAAGAGACATCATTGATGCATAGAGGGGGATGGAGAGGTAGAGAAAGAGATACATAGAGGAGTGAGTTGATGATTTCAGAGTCTGTTTTGGTGTCGTGTGAAGGATACCTCCAACTAACACTAAAAGAAAGAGAGGGAACAACAAAGATGGTCGCATACAAAAAATAAGTACAAAAATTTGAAATCCTATTGCAGAGAGAAAGATATGAACGCCAAATTTTTGATTTCCTGAAGTCGAATTCAACTAATCGATTTACTCTAATGCTAAAGGTCCCTGCCTTAGTTGTAGTTTGACTGGTGATGTTAGCAGGGGTCTTGCTGGTCGTGGGTCGTGCTGGATTTGCTTGTAGCTGTAAATGATGGTGGTGGCGCTGAGCGGTGGTCGTGGTGGCGTGTGCGTTTGTGGACGACAGCAACTGGCATGGTGTGCGTGTGCGTTTGTGAGTGGTGGTTACAAGGATGATGGTGGCAAACCTTAAAATTGAGAGTGACTAAACTACAAAGAAGTGAGAGCGTTCATCTAACCTTATAATTGAGAAATGTGAGAGTGTGGCTGAGTTGATGCGATTAGGGTTTCTCGTTGAGAGAGAAATAAGAAGCCATGAAGGCAAACATATTGAGCTGTGTGGCTGTCGTTTGAAGACAAAACAAAATCAGCGGTTGATGGTGGTTAAAAAGAGAGGAACCATGGGGCGGTGGATAATTTCATGGTTGAATGGTCAAATGAGTGGTTGTGCCGATTCACCGGGAAGGGAGATAGGGATGAACATGGGAAGAGAGAATGGCGAAATCGGGGAGAATCTGTGATTTGAAAGAGCTATATAATGTCCATCTAACCGATTCAATTGCTTTTCACCGATTCAATCGGCTGAAACTGAGGAGGAATGATGGTTCAAATTTGACTAATTCACTTGACCGGATAAGATTTGTTTATTTTGCATAAAGTTATTGTATATGATGCTTTAAGAGTTGTACCTCTTTTATTATATATATATATATATATATATATATATATATATATATATATATATATATATATATATATATATCAAAGTAATGAAAATCTAACCAATTGTCTAACAATTATATAAATTATAAATATGTTTGTGAAATTCTTAAATCAAAACAAAGAAGTACGACTTATATTAAAATCAACTATCTAGGTTTGTACATCGCAATTTAGACGGTAGCTATGTCATATTTCTTTCAAAAGGGCAAAATATCCGGAAATAAATCTAAAGGGTCAAACTACGTATTCATTGATCCTAAATAACTTTACTATTACAAATAATTAATATTTTAAGATCTTAAGACATAGTCTAATATATGTAAAAGTTAAATATGCAATATTAAAAGATCATTATCAAATCGCATAAAAATCGTCTGCACGGTATCGTATCAAACCGCACACACCACATAATGCGGTTTAAAACCTTAACGGTGCAGTTTACGGTTTTCGAAAATCTCAAGCTACACATACGGTGCGATTTGCGGTCTTGACTCTAAACCACATCAAATCGTACCACACACACTCCTACTGAACAACTCGAAAAGTCAACGGTTTTTTGGTATGAGACATAAAGTAGTTGCTTAAGGTAACTTTGATTAAGTTATGTTTTCTATGTAAGAGCTAGTTTATTTTTTAAGTTTTTTTAGGTTATTATATTTAACAAACTAAAAAGTAGTTTAATTAACTTTAAATAAAAATATTCAAACTAATGTTTCAACGAACTTATTGATATATTTTTTAAATCTTTTATAAATATACTTTTGTTTGTTATAAAAACTAAATTTTCTACTTGTTTTTTTTATGTTATTTTATACATTTCAAGCAATCTCTCAACTAGTTTATCAAACATAGTTTTTTACCCGCTAACAACGTATTCCGGTTTATTAAATTAGTTTTTTAGCTAACAACTATCAATGAATTTTTCAGATAGCTCGTGGACACATAACCCAATATATTTAAATAAAGTCAAAATACTATTTTATATTTGTAAGATCTTTTATTTAAAAAAAAAATCAGGTTCCTTTTAGAGAGGTGGGTGTGGGCAACGCCACACGAGTTACAAGGCTAAAAAACAAAAAAACGTCGTTACCAAATATGATGGTGGTAACGGGAAGTAACGCGAAAGCTTTTAACATGTAATAACGGGGGGTGGGGCGGTGTTCATTGGCGTTATCACGTGTTATGAGGCACAATAACGGGAATGGGCGTTGCCCACTCCGAGTAGTCTTAGATTTATAAATACGCAATCATATTTTATATTTTAAATTAAAATATTTTTGTAGAAAGAAATAAGATAATCTTTTTGGTGCATGGTTCATATTTGAAAACGATTATTCTATAACAGAAAACTTAAAAATTAGTTTTTTTTTTTTAATAACAAGATTACAATTTACAAGAACGGCATTTTGAGAGAATAAGTGATTTTTACAATAATTATTTATTTATTCATTCTTCTATCCGGAATAGTAAGGATAACATAGAATATCGATTGAGCATCAAACCGAAAATATCTTGTCAATGAAAAGGCAAAACTCGTGTTAAAGTATGATTTGATCAGATAAAATTTAGTCGGTGGTTCCTTTTTATTTTTTTTACTCCTTTCATTCGTTAATACGTTGTATAAATATAACGGTACATTACATCAGTTGTCCATAATGCATCTGTTAAAACGTAAGTTTAGTCCAAATTTTTAAAAATTAATTCGGATCATCCTTCATATCGTTAAAATATGCACGTTACGTCTCTCGCAAACAAAAATGACTATTTATCATTTTTTTTTCTTTTTCTTTTATTTTCCAGGTTTATAATTTATCTTATCATTTTTTATTAATTATAATTTCTAGAAAATCAAATGGTCTTTATATCACCCTAGGAATCCATCGGCAGGCACCACCCAATACCTCTACGAACCACATGTAATTAGCTTCTCCGACAATCCCATCTCCACAGTCACGGAGTTCAAAAAGACTCAACGATTTAAGCTTTTCTGTCTAAAAAACAAACCCTAGAACACCGATGAGAGAGAGAGAGAGAGAGAGAGAGAGAGAGAGAGAGAGAGAGAGAGAGCAAGGTTGTGGTCCATCGATGATGGTGGGTGGTGGTCCGACAACTCTCTTTTCCGACGAGATAGAGTAGTCTCCAGCAAAGATCGGTTGTGGATGGTGGTTTGTTGGCGGATTAGGGGAAAGAGGGTTTAAAGGGAAGGGGTTAGCATAAGGTGGGTGGGGTGGGTTTTTTATTTTATTTTGCATTTTTATAAATAGCTATAAGAAAAAAAAATCAAAAAGTAATAAAAATGGCAGAATAGTCTTTCCATGTCTTACAAATGATAAAATGTGCAAATTTAAACTAATGAGGAATGACATGTGCAACTTTCAAAACCATCAACCCCAGTGACTATCATCGATACCCAATTCCATTCGTCATCAAACTACCGAATCAATCAAAAACAAATCCGCCTTCATCTGCTTCGACTTCATAATCAAATAATCAACATTCACTGAACGAAAGCCAAATAATCAATTTTGACTTTCCAGGTTGACTTTCAATTTCGAGAAATCAACGTGAGTTCTTCACTTTTCTTTCGAATCGACTTCAGAAGAAACTCAAAACACCAATTCGATTAATAGAAATGGTGGTTATTATTGTCTGAGGTGATGGTTTTTCGATGAACAAGACAAGGGAGATAAGGGGTAACAGGTAAGTCTCGAAAGGAAAGAGGTTGGGGTGGGATCTTAATTTTTTTTTAATAACATAAACAAGAAATATGCAATAAAATTCAAAAAAAAAAAAGAAATAAAGAACGGCAAAATAGTCTTTTTAGATCGGAAGGAGACTAAGTACGCAACAAAAACATAGAATACAGACTGCTCGAGTTAAAAAAAAGTTAGTAATCAAACGTAAAAAATTATCTCAAACTATAGGGACTGCTTTTGTAATTTACTCAATAATTTACATTGTTCTAAAATGCTATTAAAAGAGCATCCAAATATATAAACATATATACTTTAGGGACCTATCTGTAACTAATAAAATTCAACAATGATTGTTGAAAATATAAAGTAAACGATTAATATAATAAAGAGTTAAAACCAAAGCATATTAATGACATTGAGTAGACGCTTGAATGGAAATATATACTCCCTTCGTCCCAATATTATTGTCCATAGACAAAAAACACACATATTAAAAAAAACATTAATTACCACTAACTTTATTTAATAAAATGACAGTTTTGTCCTTACTTTGCATTTAATGTTCAATTAAATGTTTAGTTGGTTAAGTAATAATGAGGAGGTATTTTGGTAAAAATGTTATTTATTTTTAGAAGTGAACTATTATTTTGGGACAAACCAAAAAGGAAAGATGGACTATAATTTTGGGACGGAGGGAGTACATTTTAGAGTAAATTATACGAATGATCCCTATGGTTTGCGGTAATTTGCATGTTTGGTTTATAACTTATTTTTTTTAACTTGAAAGGCCTCTACAGTTTGTTTTTGTTGCGCACTTGGTCCCTGTCTTACCTAAAAAGATTATTTTGCCATTGATTTTTAATTTATTTAAATAAGGCGGGGTAGGTAAGGTGAGATAAGGTGAGGTGGAAGTGGGGTTGAGGGTGTGTTTATTTAAATAAATTAAAAAATCAAAGACAAAATAGGTTTTTTAGATAAGACAGGCACCAAGCACGCTACAAAAACAAACAGTAGGGATCTTCCAAGTTAAAAAATAACTTAGGGACCAAACGTGCAAATTATCCCAAACCATAGGGACCATTCATGTAATTTACTCTACATTTTAAGGGTTGGCCGGTATTCTTATGGGTGCGATTAAAATCCACCCAATTTATAAATCTGCATTTGCCTTGACCATCATAAATATGAGTAAATGGATGTTCAATCTTATTTGGTTGAATAGAGATACCAAATTCACAAATCGACAAAAGTTATGGTGTCATGTGATATGGTTTTTATATTGGACTTGGGTTTCCTATTATTTGAGAAGAAGGATCACCTTGGCAGTCTTAGATAAGACCATTAGTCTTCCATTGTGACTTATTTGTTAGCGGGTTATACTTATTATGTATTTGTATTCTTGTATTTGATATAGTTGGCTAGGGTACGACCCAATTGGTTATGGCCTCTTTTCTTCTAACCTATTTATACTCATTTGTTTAATGATATTCGACAGAGAGGAATTTATCAAAATAACTTGGTATCAGAGCTGTGAACCCTCCTCCTATATTCTCATCTTCTAAAAGCCCTAGCCGGTGGATTCTTCTTCTCCTCCTGTCACCTTCTCCCCTTTGATTCTTGTTCTTTCTTCTCATCATGTCTGGAACTATCTTCAATGACAAACCATCGTCTACTATCAACATCAAACATGCAGTACCCCTCGTGCTTGATCTTGACCATATGAACTATGACGTTTGGCGCCAGTTATTTGAGTTACACTGTGTTGGCTAGGGAGTTGACCATCATCTGCAACCTCCTACTCAACCTCAGACATATCTCACCGAAAAAGAAAAAGAAAAATCCACAACAGAGTCGGCTGCTGCGAAAGTCAATTGGACTCGTATGGATTCTATTGTCCAATCTTGGATATACGGTACTCTTTCCACGTCTCTCCTTCACATGATATTCAAAAAGCAAACTATTGCATATGAAATTTGGACCAATCTTGAAAAGATCTTACGTGACAACAAATCAACCAAAGTTATTCACCTTGATCGTGAACTTCGCAATATTACATTAGGAAACTCTAACATCACTGATTATTGCAACAAAATCAAGTCTCTTGTTGATCGCTTGGAACATATAGACGCAAAAGTACTTGAGACAAACCTGGTGGCG